GGCTTGAGGTTGGAGGCGATCTTGCGCGTCATCAGCCCGACGCCGACCTTGAAACAAAAATAATTTTTCTAATTAGAAAGTAGATTTCACTCCGTTTTAAGCTATGATCCCGCCACGGTATTTTATTAAATGGGTACCTCCTTGAGGTACTCATCAAAGCCCTCCGATGAGACGAGATCCCACTTGCCGACGAGCTGATCGACCATTTTCGACGATTCTGGAAAATGGGGGGTAAATGGGAGCGCGCTAGAGAGAGAGAGAGAGAGAGAGAGAGGGGGGGAGAGAGGGAGAAAGATAAGAATTATTTTTCGAAAAAACCGTTTCAAACGATTTACGGTAGTTTTAATTTGGCAAAAATTAAATTTCCAGATATACTGTAAATTTTTAATATGAAAATCGAAGCTATTTCTTCCTTAAAATTGGCTTTTAAGCCAGGAATTTCCCCATATTCTGCTGAGTCATTTGGGCCGCCGAGATGGCGCAAACAGATTTCGAAATCTGACTTTTTTAGATTTCTCTCTCCCTCTCTCTCTCTCTCTCTCTCTCTCTCTCTCTCTCTTTCTCTCTCTCTCTCGCGCTCTCTCTTTTTGCGATGAAATAAAAACATTTGCGTCCCCCGGTCCCGGCGGCTAGCCGAGCTAATGGAAAATGATGAATGGCGGTGAATGGAAAAATCGTAACGTTCAAAAGGCGACAAATCGCTTTTTTCGAACACATTTATATGGATTGAAATCAGAGTTTTTTATATTAAATTTATTGATTATCTATCTTCTTAGAAAAAGTGGAGCCAAAAAGCGTCAAAAATTTAAAAATTTGTTTTTTGAGCTTTTTTGAAACATTAGTTCTTGCAAGATCAACTCAAAAATCTCTCGAGTCGTTTTATAAAAATTGCAGTTTTTAGCTTCACCATCTATCGTAAAAAGTCCTTAAAAAACATAACTGTGATGTCTCGACATTGTGAAACTTTAAGGCGATACAGTAAAAATATAAAATTTACTAAATTGAAGACGATCGAAAATGCCTAAAATCCGACGAATTATGACATGTAATAATGCAGTGCTAATTACATGGATTTTCGAGCAACTCAAAACTGAATGGAATTTTCCTAATCTCCATACAAAAAAAAAACTAAAAAAATCGTCAAAATGTGAAAGTTAAGATAATTTCAATTAGCTTCAAGGCCCCAAAAAAGCGTAAGAAAAATGGGGTATCCTAAAAAAAGGAGAAAACGGAAAAACCGTCCACCCGGGGCCGGGGAAGCCGGGTGGCGGGAATGGCTGGGGGAAGAGGAGCGTTCGTCGTCGTCGGAAAAAATAGGGAAAGCGAGAGAGTGAGAGGGGGCAGAGAAAGAGAAATAAAGGAGTGAGAGGAAGGGAGAGAGCACGAAAACGAGGAGGGGGCAGTGAGCGCGGCTATTGTCGGGTGGAGGATGACGATGCGGCAGAGAGAGAGAGAGAGAGAGAGAGAGAGAGGGCGAGAGAAAGAGAGGGTCTGTGGATGGTATTAGCTGTCACTGGAAAGGGCCTATATGGAGAGGGAGAGAGAGAGAGAGAGAGAGAGAGCGAGAGAGAGAGCGAGAGAGACAGGCAGAGAGAGACCCAGCGTAAAATCCGGCCGTTGACCACCGGAAGCCCGTAAACAACACGTGGTTTTGCCCTGGGAAAAGATACGTTGCATTCAAATAGTTATGGTACGTGACCCATCAAAATTAATTACACAACTAAATCTTATACGATACTTTTTGTAAAACATTTTCTCAGAAAAAAAGCATCTCAAAATTCAAGGAAGCTTTTCAAATTTTTAAGATTTGTCGTCTAGTTACCTGGTGTAGCTTAAATATAGCATTTTAATATTTTTCGGGAATATAAAAATCAGTATAAAATGTTTTTTGAGCGCAGAAATCAATGTTTCAAAAATTCTTACAATAGCGAAAAATGATTAAAATAATTTTGAGCGCCGAGATTAATGTTTCAAAAAATCGCTCAATCCAGAAAAAAATTCGGTGAACAATGAGACAGTTTCCTCCAAGGCTGTGATTTTCGACAAAGGCAAAAAAGCTATCTGGCTAATGGTGGATTCTAAAGGGGAATCGGGCGCGATACAAATGGCTAGGCAGACAAAACATCCGGCCAATCCGGCTAGAGGACCGTCGCGGAATCGCCGGCAATATCGGGAAATTCACAAAATCGAGTCACCTTTTAGCCACCGGGTAAACAAAGCTTTTTTTGAACGATTTAATACGATTTTTTGAGGGCTTACCGTAAAACCACAGTACTTTCGAAGGGTGCCATTATGAGCACAAGTTTTTGCTCTACTAGATGGGCAATAGAAAATTTATTAAAAGTTGCGGTAGCCCAGAAAAAAAAACGGAGAAAAATCAATTTTCTCTAGAAAAAATTTCCAAATTTTATTTTTTCGGGTTTTTCGCACCTACAGTACTTTTTAGAACGTCTTTCGGCGTAGAATTTTTCGCTTTATTATTTAGGCTATCAGGAAAGCATTTAAAAGTTACCGTCGCTAGAAAAACATTGCAGGAAAGTTTAATTCCTAGGAGAAATTCAAAAATTTCTTTGAGCTTTTTTGTACCTATAGTACTTTTTGAAAGGTTGTTTTGTGAAAATTTTTTGCGACGATATATAAACTGATCTCAGAGGTCGAAAGATTGCCCTGATATTTAAGCTACAAAACATATTTTTTTACGATTTTTCTCGTCCTAATCAAGAAACCATTTTGTTTAGAATTTTTGCGCTAAAAAATGAGACCTATCTGACCCAAAAATTACAGTAAAATCATCGGGATGGGGAGCCATTTTGAGGGTTGTTATTGTTTTGACGGGGGCGCGGTGGGAGGGATCTGTTTGATACGGTGGGTGGGCCGCGAGACCTAGATAACGTATGACCCGGGGATTATTTACGGAAAATCGCCTTCCCCCGCACTACAACGTCTATTTATACTGGAAATATGCTAAAAATAAATATTATAAAATCACATTTTGGTTCTAAAAAAGGGTTTCGAAAAAGCTTAAAAAATCAGTAAATTCTCGTTTAGTAATCAGTACCTTTTCCATTCCAGTCTTGAAACTTTTTTCAAGTTTTTCAATGGTTTTTCCACTTCAAAATATAGTTAAATTATGCTAAAAACGCTTTTAAGGTACTTTTGATTACTTTCCTATTCCTAGACTAATAGAAAAATATGAGTTTCAAAAATTCTTAGATTATAATTTTTAAAAATCCTAGTTTTGGTTGATTAGTTGAACTTTGCGTTTTTTATCCAATGCTAAATTTCTATGTAAGAAAAGCAAAAAAAAAACAATATTACAAAATTAGAAATTGGATTTTCTCGATACCCCCGGTAATGCAAAAGTACCCTGAAACAACAATTTAGTAAAAAATGCAATTAACAAAGACTCTAAGGTATTTTTAGCTATTTTAAAGAGCATCATATTAAATTATAAAAGTGTAATAAATAAAGAATTATTCAAATCAGTCCAGTAGAGAGGCAAAACTCGGCTGTGTGTATGTGGATTGAGGGTTGGGATCGCCCGATCGGGTCAAATCGGCCTTGAGGCTCGGGTTATCGAGATGAGCGAGAGAGAGAGAGAGAGAGAGAGAGAGTGAGAGAGAGAGAGAGAGATTGAGAGAGAGTGAGAGAGGGAGAGAGAGAGAAACGGAAAGAAACGGTCAATGAATGTCCGGCCAGCCATGGCTAGATGGAATTGAATAAAAAAGGGACCGCCCCGGCGGCTGTCCGACCGGAAAATTCGGGGGCAATTTTTCAGCCGGCCCGCCCTGTAGATCCGGGCATAGATACCGAATCCCCCCAGCCAGCCATGGGGAATTTAACGGAATGGAGTGTCAAAAATCCGTAAATTGAAAGTACCTAATTTTTCGTGAAATTTCGTTTTGTCACGTGGATTTAAATTTCAATTTAAAGAGATATTGAATTCAATAAACTTTAAAAATTCTAAAATTTCTGACCAGTGCAAAAACCAACTGGGACTCGGCGCCTTGAGGTGGGCGTGGCGGACGAGTGGCAGCAGCGAGACGTCGCTGGACTCGAAGCGGTGCGCGACGACGGCTACCGTAACCGCGGCGCCTAAATAAACCGTTTAGTCTTAAAAAACCTCTGCTAGCCTGCCCTCTCCTCTTCCTCAACAATCTCTGCTAGCCTGCCCTCTCCTCTTCCTCAACAATCTCTGCTAGCCTGCCCTCTCCTCTTCCTCAACAATCTTTGCTAGCCTGCCCTCTCCTCTTCCTCAACAATCTCTGCTAGCCTGCCCTCTCCTCTTCCTCAACAATCTCTGCTAGCCTGCCCCTCTCCCTCTTCCCTCAACAATCTCTGCTAGCCTGCCCCTCTCCCTCTTCCCTCAACAATCTCTGCTAGCCTGCCCCTTCTCTTCCTCAACAATCTCTGCTAGCCTGCCCTCTCCTCTTCCTCAACAATCTCTGCTAGCCTGCCCTCTTCTCTTCCTCAACAATCTCTGCTAGCCTGCCCTCTCCTCTTCCTCAACAATCTCTGCTAGCCTGCCCTCTCCTCTTCCTCAACAATCTCTGCTAGCCTGCCCTCTCCTCTTTCTCAACAATCTCTGCTAGCCTGCCCATCCCAAAAATTCAAAATTACCAGCGACAAGCGTGGGGGTGCGCGCGAGGCGCCAAACGTTGCGGGACCACAGCCGATGCATTTTGGGTGTTTTCGAAATGCAGAAAAATGGCTCTTTCCTTTTCCCGTGGATTTCCTGCGAACAAAAGCGTCAAAAATTCGGTAAAATAATTTAAATCTCGAAACCCTATAAAAATTGAAGCAGCTTTTATTTCTCTCATTTCTCGGAACCGTTTAAAAATCACAAAAAACAACAGTAACAATGGGGGCAAATTGAAGGCAAAATCAACAAGAACAACAAGATCAACAACGCACTAATGGTCGTGACGACGACGGAATAGCAATAACAAGAACAACAACGTCTTCGAAAAATAATAATAATTGGCAAAAATGTTCGTCTACTTTCTGCCGGCCTCCTTCGCGTCGACGGGCGGCCAGGCGGCCTGGAACTTGGTGTGCAGCATCTGCGGGAGCCACGCCTGCACCTCGTCCAGCAAGAACTCGGGCTCCTTTGCCCAGACGGCGTTGAGCGCGGCGCGGGATAGTGTCTGGAAATGAGGGTGTATTTGAACCACTTGAACGCTCGGTTTAAAGGACCATTAAAGGCAAAAGTCCACACGAATTTTTCCGGCCATACCTATTCGTGAATAATAAATACTCTACTTTATAATGCTTTTTTGTAATTTTTCATTGCTTGAAAGTTACAAAAATATTTTAGCCCTTTTTGAAAGTTCGAAATTTGCTCTTTTTGGTCATTTTTCAAATGTTTTTGATATTTTTATATTGTTTTTATATCTAAAAACCGTGTAAAATGCTACCAAAATGATTTATATTTTGTTATCAGGCGGTGGAGAATCACAGGGAAAAATTGGGTTTCCGCCCCCCACCGCTAACAGTTTAGAACCGCAAAAACTACGAAAAATATTATAAATAACTTTATTATTAACAGGTAGGCATAGACGAAAAGATAAAAATTAATTTCCCCCTGCTAACAGTCCAGTACCGCGAAGCAGATTCCATACCTCTTTCCGTATAAGCGCATTCAGCACGGCCTCAGTCCGCGGCTGCAGCTTCGCCCACTCCCGGGTCATCGTCGTCGGCGGCGCCAACAGCTTCGGGGTCCACTCGGCAAGGGCGGGGATTACCTGGCAAAAACACGTATTTTAAAAACACAAAATTCATACCTGTCCCGCCAACAAGCATTGCGCGAACAGCCGGTACGTGTTGATGTTGTGCGGCAACGGGCGCTCGGTGGTGCCCAGATCCCAGGCGCACGGCCCAAACGCCACCGACACCGAGCAGGTCAGCGCGTCTTTCTTCGGGTTGTAGCTGAAAATAAAACGATTTAGGGGTACGCATTTCCTCAAAAATCTCTGCCAGCCTGCCGTTTTAAAGGACTAACAGAAGGGCAGAAAAAACCTCATGCCTTACCTGACGCCCTTGTTGTCCGCCGGCGGCGCGCCAAACGTGCAGTAGTTCTCGGCCAACTTGTACAGCCACTCCTCGTCGACGCTCATCACGTTCTGCATGCACTTTTTGCCGCCGAGCTGAAAAGGGGCAGCTGAGAAAATGCAAAAAATAGGCGAAAAATTCGGATTTTGGAAAAAAATGTTTTAGAAAATTGGGAGGTAACCCATCTTTCTTACCTGCGTAATCTCCTGGTATAGCACGTAGTCGGGCTCTTCCATGAAGTGCATCGACGTTTGGTCGATGAAGACGTACTCCTGGAAGAAAAATGAAGATGGAGGGCACCCAAAATAGTCTCTTCTAGCTTACTTTAGCTTTCGAGAAAAAGTTGGCACCTTTAATAAAAAAAGTTTTAAAACACACACCTTGATACTCTGGCATTGATAGGCGCCCTTGGGGACCTCTTCAGCGGTCGTCTGGTCGACGCGCTTGGCGATCCGGTCGGCCAGGCAGGCGACCATCACTTGTCTAAATTCAAATCCTAAAAATCCGTAAAAATTTCCCACCTCAACATTTGGGCCTTTTGATCGTCAATCGGTTCCAGAATCGGCTCGAACGGCGCGTCGACCCCGAACGTCGTGTTCACGATGTTCGTCAACTGGACGCGCATCTTGCGGACCTGGAAAAATACATTTTTCTCGTGAACGATCTCTGCTATCCTGCCCTCTCCTCTTCCTCAACAATCTCTGCTAGCCTGCCCTCTCCTCTTCCTCAACAATCTCTGCTAGCCTGCCCTCTCCTCTTCCTCAACAATCTCTGCTAGCCTGCCCTCTCCTCTTCCTCAACAATCTCTGCTAGCCTGCCCTCTCCTCTTCCTCAACAATCTCTGCTAGCCTGCCCTCTCCTCTTCCTCAACAATCTCTGCTAGCCTGCCCTCTCCTCTTCCTCAACAATCTCTGCTAGCCTGCCCTCTCCTCTTCCTCAACAATCTCTGCTAGCCTGTCCTCTCCTCTTCCTCAAAAATCAATGCTAGCCTGCCCTCTCCTCTTTCCCAAAACAGACCTCGAGCATCGCCTTGTACCGCATTCCCATCATGTCGCATTCATCAGGGATCATCTCGCACTTCTCGCTGGCGCTGACCGCCCTCAGCAACACGCCCAGGTCGCCGAGGCGGCGCGGCGCGTTTTTGCCGAGCCAACTCCGGCGCAGCTTGAGTATCTAAAGCAGAGCTTGAGCTTCAGGATCCCCACTCACATTCACCATGTGCTGCTTCGTCTCGGCCTCCGTGGATCCGCGCAGGGTGGCCACGTTCACCATCGGCTCTCGGACTAAAAGCAATCGATAAAATCGGGTCGTAGATTTACGACTTGACGATATCTTTAAAACAAGCGCACCTGAGAGCGCGGCGATGAGCGCAATCGCGTACGGCATCAGCCCGTGCTGGTTGGCCATGGCGACGACCTAAAAAAAGCGGAATAATAGTGAAAATTAGATACGTTTTTCTCTCTCTCTCTCTCTCTCTCTCTCACCTTTGCATACGCTGGGGCGAGTGGGAAGACAGCCAATGATTTCCCGAGCGCCGTGATCCGGGCTTCGGTCTAAAAAACTAATTAATCAAGTAATTTCATTACAAAATCAAGTAGCTTAATTTATACAAAATTATTTACTTTAACTTTCAAATAACTAACTCCCAAAACTCACCTTCTCATTTCGCGTGCCCACCGACAGCGCCTCCATCTTGATGAGCCGCTCCTCGGCGGCGATCAGCGCGTCCTCGTCCGGCGTAGATGGGAACGGGAAGTTGACAACCTAAAACAAGATTTTAAAGGGACCGTAAAGCCAAAATAAACACGAAACTCGACATTTTTTACCCTAAGGCCAGAAAAATAGTTAAAAATACTGAAAACCCTAAAAAAATCTATTTTTTTAATTGTCAAAACTCGAAAATCAGCCATAAAAGATGCATAAGAACGCGACCATTCCGATACCTTGACAATGTTCATGCTCTTCAGGTGCAGCACCAGCTGGTCGGCCGGCTTGTCGAGGATCTCGGGCCGCGAGAATTTTTGACAATCCTGGTAGACCTGTGAGGAGTAGAGCCTGGAAAACCCACAACAATATTAATGCCATCATTTTAACTGGAATCCGGCAACCAAAATACACACCGATAAGCATGGCCGGCGGAGACACGGCCGGCACGTCCGGATCGCTGATCGGCCGAGGCTTGACTGCAGCGGGCGAGCACGAACTGCGAGACGCCAGTCACCTAGAGAGAGGGATCATAAATGCGCCCAAAAATCTCACCGGGTCGTATCGGCGCTGTTTCTCGAAGCCGGAGTCGACCACGTAGCGCACGCCGGGGATGGTGATGGACGTCTCGGCGACGTTGGTCGCGACCACGCACAGCCTGAAAGGGAGATTTCAGCGAGAGAGAGAGAGAGAGAGAGAGAGAGGGAGAGATCACGAATTTTACCTCGTTCCGGGCGGCGAGTCCTGGAATACGCGGCGCTGCTTCTCGCTCGACAGCAGCGAGTACAGCGGCAGGCAGTAGAGCGGCTCACAATTTGCCGGCGGCGGCGCCAGCGAATTCTAGGAAAAAAAATTTTATCATCTTTCTTTTTTCATATTTGCTACAAAATTCTAAAAACAAAAAAAATATTCTCAAAATTTCTAAAAGCTAAAAAATACGCTAAAACTTTTCCCACCAATTCGATGCCATTTTCCTCTCCGTCGTCGTCCCCATCGCTCGGGGCATCGTCAAAAATCTCGCCGCCAATGCCGCTCTCCAGCAGGTCCTCTCCCTCGAGCCGCCTTTTCCGCCCGGCTTTCCCGGCCTCCTTGAAGTCCTCGAGCTTCATGTTCTTCAACTCCCGTTCGCGAGCCTGTAAAAAAAATTAGTTGCGGTTGTTTTGTAGCATTTCCGAGCGGAGAATCCAATTTTCGTTTCTACATGGCTTTTCACGCTTTCAAAACCCGAAAAGCGAATTAAACAAAAATTTACAACACAAAAACAATTCAAAAACAAAATTTTTTTATTAGAAAACGGCACTAAATATAAATTTTCAACAAAATTCTCGCCTTTTTAAACAATGTCGTATTTTATAAATGGCTATTTCCCATTAAAGAAAGCTAGATTTTATTTCAAAAAAAAGTAAAACACTTTCTATTGCTAGATAAAGTTACAGAAAAACACTTGCCCCCTCAAAAATATTAAAGAATCATTTTTCTAATTTTAAGCAACGCCCAACCTCCTTCCACTGCTTCGAGCCGCGGATCAGCTTCTGCCCGTCCTTGCTCGTCTCGTAGACCACCTGGGAAAACAGTATTTTTAGTCAACGGTAGCGTACTGGATATCTTGCGGTCAGCTTCTTGATGAGCTGCTTGACGTCGGCCTGCCCGGGGACGAAGATCAGCATCGCGCCCGCCGGCAGCTCCTCGTGGATGCGGCACGCCTAAAATGGAAATTTTCGGGGTTAGATGATTTTTACAACGCCCAGGAAAATGCCAGAACCCAAAAAACGTTTTATTACGAAAATCCTGAAGAATTACCTTATTAAAAGCGGCTTTCAGGAAGTCGGCGGGCGTGCGCTTCTCAAAATGGAGCGTCACCGGGAATTGGCGCGATTCGACGCTCAGAATCCTTGGGTCGAGCGTTGGGAATAGTCTAAAAAGCCGTTATTAATTTCTATTTTTTTAAATTTTCAAATTTAAATTTTTGATTTAGCTTAATTTGAACTTTAATTAATCCATTTTCTAAAGCGGTTGCAGTAAAAAATGAAAAAGGCGTTATTGAATTTCGTTGCCAACTCTATTTCTAATTTTAATTTGCAAAAACCTCAACAAAAACCGATAAAATACAATTTTAAACAAGCTAAATAAAAATATCTATTCCTACTTTTAAAGCTAAATAAAATAATAATCAACATTTTAAAAATCAGACCCACTTTTTGTGCGTGAAATCGGCGGTGCGAAGCGTGGCGCTCATGATGATCAGCTTCAGCGGGTTAGTGTCGGCTCTGAAGCGGATTTTGGGTCGCCACATAACGCGCAGAAAACCTGAGGCAAACGATGCGGCTCAGCATGCCGATCAGCACGTCGCTGTACATCGAGCGCTCGTGGGCCTCGTCAATGATCAGCACCGAGTACCTGAAAATGAACAGTTCAAGTAGCTAAAGACGGAAACGTGGCGTCTGGCAACCGATTACGGCATGCAATTCAAGCTAGAAAACTGTAAGTTCTCACTTTTTCAACATGACGTCGGTCTGCATCTCCTTCATCAGCACACCGTCGGTCATGAACAGTATCTTCGTCTCGTCGGTCCGCGTGCCCTCGAAGCGGATCTAAAAATGACGGTAAATAAGCTCAAAATAAGCCTGGAATCCCAAAAAATCCCTGCCAAATTGCGCACCTGGTAGGAGACAATGTCCGGCTGGCCCAGCTCGACGCCGACGCGCTTCGCCATGCTGACGGCGGCCACACGACGCGGCTCGGTGATGCCAATCTGAAGAAATTTTGGAGCAAAAACGAAAAACAACTTTTCTAAAATGGTTTCGCCTGGTTTTAAGGATTTATAAAATAGAAAATAAAACCAAAACTTTTGCAGTAATATTACGACAATTGCGGATTTCTCATAATGTTTGTTAAACTCAATTTTCTTTCGCTAAATACGAAATTTCTTTCGGTCCTTTCGCATTATCGGGGGGAACAAATTTTTTTCGTAGGACCAATTTATCCCATAAAAATAGTGGCGTGTTTCGAAACTCTTTTTTATTATACCTAAACGTAAAAGCTTTAGAAAATTCTATTAAAAAATGCAAAAATATAGATTTTTCGTCGAAAAATGTTCATTTTTGACAAAATTACGATCTTTTAGCTAGCTTTCAAGCCGAAATATAGTTCGATGTTACTAAAACACTATGAAAATACTAATTATTAAGTTACTAGGTGCTTCAAAACCCACACAAAAAATTTGGTCCGCCTGATAATGCGAACGAACCATTATTTTCTTTCAAAAGTCTCCAATTTCAGCCCCTACCATTCCCAGCGCCGTGTAGCCGGCTTCGTAGAGGAATTGTGGAATTTGGGTAGTTTTTCCGGAGCCAGTCTCGCCGTTCACCACCGTCACCTGAAGACCAAAATTCACAGAAATTCTGGAAAATCGGGTTGCAAAACCTTGGTTTTTCACACCTAAATAAATTTTTTCCACTTCAAAAATTACCAAATTCTCGTGGATCGCCTCAACGATCGGCTGCTCCTCCTTGTAGATGGGCAGTTTTTGGCGCTGGACCTCGATTTCGGGGTCGCGCGTCTCGACAACGATCGGTTTCAGCTAAAATTAAGCAAATTTCATAAAATTTGAAAAAAATACCCCAGTTGGAGCCTTCGAATTGGTGGCGTGCGAGCTGATGGCTGGCAAATCGTCGTCGACCTCGCGGGATTGCTTGAGCGGCAGTTGGGGTTTCTTAAATAAAGGAGGTTGCTTTCTATACATATTAGTTTTCTTTGTTTTCAGTTTGTATAAACCCATTTTCTGACTTTTATCTAACTGTAAAGTGTTTTTTACTCAACTTGGAGTTTCGATTCGGGACCAGGCGCATCTTGTGCAGAATTTTTCGCTGATTCCGAATATGTTTTCCAAATTTACTACGGACTTTTATTTAAAAAATCATTTTTGGTAACAATTGGGCCGAAAAATGCCAAAAATTCAGACGCTGGCCCACTATTCCCTGTTTGGGGCTATAGTGCCCAGGGGCCCTGAAGTACCCTCTGACAGCACCCTACCCAGTTGGCACCATGGTGCATTGGCAAAGTACTCGCTTGCCAAGCGCAGGGCGGCGGTTCGAACCCCCGCCCTGCATCATTTCTTTTGCTTTTTGCATAAAAATCTCATTTTTTATCTAAAATGCTTGTTTTGAGCTGTACGATGCTTCTCGAGCCAACGCCTAGTCAATTTTGACGTTGAAATTAATGAAGAAAATCGAAAACTATAACGATACCTTCATTTTGGTTAAAACTAGGTTCATAATTACCGTCTAACTTTCAGAATAACTGTCCGTAGCAAACTTGGAAAACATATTCGGAATCAGCGAAAAATTCTGTACAAGATGCACTTGGTCCCGAATCGAAACTCCAAGTTGAGTAAAAACACTTTTACAGTAAGTCATAAATCAAACACTCACCGTTTCTTCAACTTTGGCAGCTTCAACCGGCGCTTCCGCCACTTTCAAAACTTCCGGATTCGTGGCCTGGACTTCTTGATCGTCCATTTTTCCGTCTTTCTCAGCCTCCGCCTCCTCTTCCTCATCCTCATCTTCCTCCTCGCTGCCCGTCGAATAGTAGCCCTCCTGCACTCGCGCTCGGTTGTGGATCGTCTCGGCGACGCGGATCTTTTGTTTCACCACTCGCAGCTCGCCCACGTCCTTCTCGTCGCTGATCACGAAGCTGAAAAAGGAACACTTTCTCTAAAATTCATTGCAAAAACCTTTCTTTTTCTGGAATCGTTTTCCCGTGCTTTTTCCTCCTCAGCTGCGTCACCGAGGCGAGTTTTGCCGATTCCGAGGGGTCCAGCTGTACCTTGTAGAGCTCCTCGAGCAGTTCGTCTCTCTAAAAGAGCATTATGAAGGTATAAAACGCCTAAAAACCAAAATTTGTCCATTTTGATGGTGTTTTTTGACAAAACCTGGCTATATTTAACGTAAAAGGGTATTATAAAGGTTAAAAAAAGATTAACATCCAAAATTGGTGAACTTTGAAGACATTTCCACGGTTTTTGAGGAAACCTAGCTATATTTAATGCAAAAAAAGGTATGATCAAGCTAAGAAAAGCTTAAAACTACAAAAATTGATTAATTTTGACGAAAATTGTCCATTCTTGGTCAAAAAATCGCATTGTTTTTAATAATTTTAGTCCCCGGCGTAAAATTTCGGTCATCCTGGGTCTCCTAAAGCATCGAAAAATACCATTCTCATACCGTTTGCCTATCCTCTTTCCGCTTGGCCACAGCCGCCAGCTGCTTGCGCGCCTTCTTGGTGAGCTTGGCCTCTTTGCGCTCCTTCATCGCGCGGCGCTTCAGGTTGTACTTGGTCTGCTTCTCCTCGGCCGCCTTTTTGACCTTCTTCTTTTTCGGGCCTAAAAATCGTCAATTCTAAGGCAAATTCCTTCGTTTTTTACCTAGCATCACCGCATTCGGGTCGTCATCCCCGGCTTCTAGCTCGGCGGCCGGCTTCACCGCATCGGCCCGCCGCTTCCGCGTCTTCAACTTTCCCGAGCTGGGCATCTGGAATTTTGTTATTTTTGAAAGCAACGAGTTTCGAAGGGTTTCGTTGAAGTTTTAGAAAATTTCTCGGGACCTTTAGGTTAGGAAAAGGGGCCCTGTAAAAAACGCGGCATTCCTATCGACGAGGCAACAGCGAGGGAGCTTGAAATCTTCATCAAAGAAGTAAAAATAATAAAACCGAAACGAATATTCTTAAAAAATCAACTATAACCAGGGTTGAAAAGCCGCTTCGCGACTTTTCAACCCTGGCCCCGTCTGATCCCATGATATTCTGCGCTTTGCATAATCACGATTTTTGATGACAAAAATAAGAAACGCTACCTCTCTTCCCTTTATATAGGCTACCACAACTTCCGGCGCATGCTAATTGTGACCTAACAAAGAGGGTCCTGGATTTTTCAACAAATACTTAATTTTAACATTGAAAACCGCTAATTTTTGAAAATTTTATGAGTGTGCAGTCATCCCCAGGCCATTACGCACCTAATGACGTATCATACGTAGCCTAATACCCTTCCCTTCTTGAGATACTACTGGAACACGCTGACGGAAGTTGCATGCAAAGTGGCACGGACACACACACACACAGACACTATTTTTTTATCTATATCAACTATAATAATTTTGTTGTGGTCTCCGTCCGTCTGTCCGTCTGAAGCCGAATTGAACTCGAAGGGGAAAGGAGCTAGAGCTTAGCTCTCTTCGGATTCGGATAGAGCATGGTCAGAAACCTCCAAACTGATTAAAAAATTATCAAAAAGTTTTAATTTAAATTACTAAAATTAACTTTGAAAGTTTTTTCCTTAGTAAAAGGGGTGGGGGACGGAGGTTGGGGTGATTTTGGACATAGTGAGCCAGGTCGCGCGCGTTTCGTGGATGAAAATTTTCACTGGGGATTTCATTTCTTTTTTTTTCTCTCATTCCATCCGGTCGGTCGTTATTTTTGTTTTTTAAAGGGGCTCCGAACTGCCAAATCAAAGCCCTTTTGGGAGGGCTCTTTGATTTCTGGCAAATTGCCAGCGGGCGCTGCGGGACGCGAGCCATCACTCTTTCGATTTTTGCGCCAAGTTGTTTTTGCCCGGTTTCTTTGTGAAAACACTATAATTCGCGCATTCTGAGCCCATTTTTGAAATCCTCACTCAATTTGAAATAGTTTTGGTGTTTTAATCATCAAATTTGGCCCAGAAACAGCCGAGAACGTGATTTCGAGGTGACAACAGACAATTTCAAATTAGCGAGCTTCCCGCTCCCCTAGGTGTACAGAGGCCTCCGACGTACAGGGTTCAGATTTTCGGGCTGTCACTCAATCTTTGGCATTTCGTAGCCCCTTTAAGGGGATTTCGGCTAGGGGAGGTATCTGAAGCCATCAGGAAGGTATTTAGGTAGTTTTTGAAGGGGATTTCAGCCATGGGGGGTATCTGAAGCCATCAGGAAGGTATTTAGGTAGTTTTTTAAGGGGATTTCGGCTAGAGAGGTATCTGAAGCCATCAGGAAGGTATTTAGGTAGTTTTTGAAGGGGATTTCGGCTAGGAGAGGTATCTGAAGCCATCAGGAAGGTATTTAGGTAGTTTTTGAAGGGGATTTCGGCTAGGAGAGGTATCTGAAGCCATCAGGAAGGTATTTAGGTAGTTTTTTAAGGGGATTTCGGCTAGGAGAGGTATCTGAAGCCATCAGGAAGGTATTTAGGTAGTTTTTGAAGGGGATTTCGGCTAGGAGAGGTATCTGAAGCCATCAGGAAGGTATTTAGGTAGTTTTTGAAGGGGATTTCGGCTAGAGAGGTATCTGAAGCCATCAGGAAGGTATTTAGGTAGTTTTTGCAAGGGATTTCGGCTAGGAGAGGTATCTGAAGCCATCAGGAAGGTATTTAGGTAGTTTTTGAAGGGGATTTCGGCTAGGGGAGGTATCGATAGCCATTAGCGGGGGTATTTTGGGAGAGGTAGGGATGGATGTGATGGTGTATGAAATGAAGGGTAGCCCGAAGGCCAGATGGTTACAGTCGCGAAGCGACTGGAACCATCTGGTAAGTAATAAAAGAAGGTAAACAAATAAGAAATTTATAAATTACAAAGGCATGCGTCTATTACCGGAAGCTGTATGGCGTTTAGCTAAAACAAGGGATCGGAGCAGAGAACTGTATTTGTTAATTAGGAAAGACTAAAAATCATGAAATGTGGGTGCTTCTTTATTAACGGCGAACCAATTTTTGCCCATTATTTCCTTACGGATAACGAACCATCAACCATCTTATAGTATGTTACACAGTTTTTAGATGCAAAACGATACTAAAAAAAAAATTTATTTCGAAAATTTTTGACTTTTTGGCCGAAAATGTATGAAAAATGGCCAAAAAAGGAAAAACAATTGCGATTTTTCTAAATAAAAAAGTTTTTATGGTTTCCTAGCAATCAGAAGCTACTAAAAACATTGTGAAAATGCTCTATTGATTATCAACAGGCGAAAAATGACAAATTAGCTTCCCCCCGTTAACAGTGAAGCGCCGTCTATTTTTGCCGATCCCTGGCTTCATACCAAGCCATCCGTTTGCTGCTATTGACCCAAGAATCGCCGGCTTATCAGTGCCCGGTGCCCGAAAACGGTGGCAAATTGCCAAAGTAGAACCTATTCAGCCAGCCAGAATTTTTAATGGATTAAATACCGGTTATTTAGCTACTAATCTAAAATACAAATTTATTAAATTTTAGAATTCTAGCCTGAGATGGCCAGCCACTATCTAAAGCAGCCGGGACGGGCCCGCGGCCACACGATGCACGACAACCAGACACACCTCGACTCGATGTCCACCGGATTTGTGCGTATTTTTGAGGAGTGGTAGGCTAGCAGAGGCCATTTGGGGAAAGGAGCTAGTTACCTTGTTCTTAAAGGGGTGGGTGAGAAGACCAGGAAAAATGACACGATTTTCAGCACCTGGACCCGGCGCTACTGGCCTCGAGGCGGCACTCGAGCAGCGTTTGCATCGGCGACCTACAGGTCTCTCCGACTCTCACTCTCACTCTCTCTCTCTCTCTCTCTCAAATCATCTTCGCCTCTCTCCTGCCCCTCTCTCTCTCCCTCTCCCTCGCCATCTCACTCCCTCTCCCTCTCAGTTCTCTCTCACTCACTCTCTCATTCTCTCACTCGCTCTTCCTCTGGCTCTCTCTCTCTCTCCCTCTCACTCTCGCTCTCTCTTTCTCGCCTCTCTCTCTCTCTCTCTCTCGCTCTCTCTCTAATTCCATCTTTCAGCTCCAAAACCAACGTCGTCTCCCGATGGCTCCGGTCCGGAAAGCCGCCAAGGTCAAGGAAACCCGACGGTAACCTTTCTCGACTTAAACAGCAATTTCTAAAACTACAGCACACGCCTAAATACGATCCATTCGCAAGAAGTCTTCAACGACGTCGCCCCACGCTATGATTTCTACGATGACTACAAACCCATGCAATACAGTGAGCTTTATCAAAGACTACCGGAGCGGCTTAGGCTTAGCTTGGGCTTAGCTTAGGCTTAGCTTAGGCTTAGCTTAAGCTTAGTTTAGGCTTAGCTTAGGCTTCGCTTAGGCTTAGCTTAGGCTTAGCTTAAGCTTAGTTTAGGCTTAACTTAGGCTTAGCTTAGGCTTAGCTTAGGCTTAGCTTAGGCTTAGCTTAGGCTTAGCTTAGGCTTAGCTTAGGCTTCTCTTCGGCTTAGCTTAGGAATAGCTTAGGCTTAGACTTGGATTAGGCTTGGTAAGTTCATATACCTTTCAGGCTACGTTGCTTACGAATCACAGGACCGTCTCTCGCGCGGCTGGCGATGGGCCAAGCAGCGAAAACACGTGCTAATCCCGTGGACGATCGGCATCGCCGTCGCCACGATCATGACCGTCCTCATCGTCACGCAAACGGTTCAGGATTTTAAACACTGATTGGAAATACGGGACAATTCGATTTCGATTCGCTTTTCATTGATAAAAATTCCTAAAACGAAGATTGAGCAAACAAAACGGAAAAGGGATTCAACTACACGATTATCCGGCCGCGCAATGATATCTAAGCTCGAAACATTATTTTACGCAATAATTGATGCAGTCTGAAATTTATACACGTTTCTGCCTTCATACGCAAAAAAATGCGATCAGACAATTAGGGCCCTACGTCTTCACAGAGCACGGAGTTCACGATGAATGTCGATAGGAGCGGCTCGTTCGGGTCGACCTAAGAAAATCAGCCTTGTCAAAATAGCTTAAAGTTACCGTATACTGCCAGACGCCGTCAGCGTTGCATTGAAATGAGACGGAAGTCGAGGTGATGTCCCCTTGCGTGTAGTCATCAAAGTTCACCTAGAATCGCCGACTTTTCCTTCAACATTCTCTGCTAGCCTGCCCTCTCCTCTTCCTCAACAATCTCTGCTAGCCTGCCCTCTCCTCTTCCTCAACAATCTCTGTTAGCCTGCCCTCTCCTCTTCCTCAACAATCTCTGCTAGCCTGCCCTCTCCTCTTCCTCAACAATCTCTGCTAGCCTGCCCTCTCCTCTTCCTCAGCAATCTCTGCTAGCCTGCCCTCTCCTCTTCCTCAACAATCTCTGCTAGCCTGCCCTCTCCTCTTCCTCAACAATCTCTGCTAGCCTGCCCTCTCCTCTTCCTCAACAATCTCTGCTAGCCTGCCCTCTCCTCTTCCTCAACAATCTCTGCTAGCCTGCCCTCTCCTCTTCCTCAACAATCTCTGCTAGCCTGCCCACCGAAATGATGACCACGTTCAGGGTGATGCCGGTGCAGGTGAAGGTCCGAATTTTGCATCCGGTCGTGTCATCGACTGAGATGATGTCCGAGGCGAAGGGCTGGATAGCAAGTTTTTGTCTAGCTACTACAAACTACAAACGACGATTTCCTGTGCTGACTAAGATTTGAAATTACAGGCCAGAAAATACAAACATTAATTGAGCAAAAGCCACTTCCTGAAACTTACAATTGTAAACTCAGTTGTAGAATTATCTATCGTAATCTGCTCCGGACGGCATGAGGCGCAACCTGA